AAAAAAAAAATCGTCAAAATTGACGCCGCGAAGGGCCACAGTAACCTTAATGTAACCTATGCTAGTACTTTGGGCCTCACGGCCAAGCACATGGTTTTTGTATTGTTGCGTAGTTAGAATAAAATGGCGGACGACGACCCAATGAATGTTATGCTATAATAGTCTCATACTGCACGCACAAACTGGGTTTGTTCGGCGCAATAGTAATAGGAAGGACTATCCATGGGGGCTCCACTTCACCCACTTTCCCAAAAACGCGTACATCTCCCGTTTTTATTTTCTCCATCAGTGCCTTTGAGATGAACTGCGAAAATGCTTTGCAGTAGGGGTGATTTTTAAATATTGCCGATAGTGAAATGGCCGAGTCATATTTACGGCCCTTTTAGGAGTCTTGTAAAGGTTGAATGAAAGACCTCATAATCCACTCCTTGTTGTAACCAGTCCATTATCCTCATTTTTGACGGGTTATCTCGTAGCAATTGCTCCCACATTTTCATGTTTTGGTCGACCTCTCCGGCTCTGAAGCTGCCGGGATCCCTGAACCTGGCCACTCCCAGTCCCGCTATGTGACTCAGAGGTCCACTAGATTCAATGCCACTCCCAGGCATTACCCTCTATACTCAATGCCACTGTCAGGCATGCTATGTAACTCAGAGGCCCTACTAGCCTCAAATGCCATTCTCAGGCATGCAGTGTGTTTTATGGGTCCCACCAACTTCAATACCACCCCCAGGCATGCTATGCCTCAGAGTCCCTGCTAGCCAAAATGCCCTTAGGMATACTAAGTGACTCCGAGGCTAGCCTAAACTATAACTTTGTCCCGCATACTTCCCTTAAGACTGAATTTGATGCACGTAACATAGCGCTGCGTAGCGTTAAACARCAAAGKTTKTGAAATACGCAAAATTYATAGCATATTTTATAAAGCAAACTTACCTGTAAGTTAAAGTTTGATTGACTTGATTGAGATTCTATCACCTGACATCGGAAGGAAGGGGATCACATGAGCAAGCGTACGTCATTCTTTAAAGTATATTATGTTGGTTGTATCAGTTAACCCACACAGCAATGTAATGGGCCGGGTAAAAGGGTGGGCATGTGATCCCCTTCCTTCCGATGTCATGTGATAGAATCTCAATCAAACTTCAACTTACAGGTAAGTCTCGCTTAATTTTCCAATTCTATCACATGACCGGAAGTTCGGGGATCCCATGAGACTTTAAAGCCACTGATGCAACCAACTTATTTTGCAATAACCATAATGACAAAGATCATGTGTACTCCTGTGTGTAACTGAACAAATAAAGTATATTATGTAACTAACAAGTATAATTGGTATAGTATATAATAACAATGATAGGCTAAACTTGTAAAATAGTATCTGCAATGGTATTTTCTTGCATAGGTTGTTATAGAACCTGTAAAACGTTTCGGAAGATTCCCAGCTTGCATTAGCCATGATTTGATCAATGGGTACATTACMCAGATGAGCTTTAGAGGCGGAGGCTGCTCTTGTGCTGTGGGCTTTGTAAACGTTGGTGTGTATACCACTATTCTCGAGAACTGTTCTAGTCCATCGCGATATAGTGTCCCTAGATACAGCTTGGTAAGGCTTTACATAACTAATGAATAATTTTGTGTCGTTTGCCCGGTGCGGTTCAGTTCAAATGATATACTCCGATAGACATTTAAAGGGGCACAGRCTGGCTTCCGGTAAATATGGTTTGATGGTAATCTTGGTATGTGCTTTTCCTGGTTTGCTTGTTTTAATGTGTTCAAGAACATAGAAAATAAGACGATTATCTTGTTTATCTAAATGTCTAAGGTCTAATAAATGAATGGTTTGTCCTCTTTGGCTAGTTACTAATAACAGTAACATTAGTGTTTTTAATGTGAAGTCTTTAAGTGACAAAGATTCGTTTGGGTATTGCTTAGACAAGTACTTCAGTACAACTGAAACATCCCATATTGAAGAGTATTTTGGCGTGGTTTTTCTTAACTCGAAAACACTATTCATAAAYCGGTTAACAATAGCGTTAGTACTAAAATGGGGAATATTGACCACAGTAGACAGAGCTGAACGAGCAGTGTTGAGTGTAGAGTRGCTAAATCCGCTGTTGTAGGGCTCAAATAGGAAATCGAGGATGTTATTTATCGAAGGTGAATGGTACTTAATTTCCCTTTCACTGCAAAACGCCATCCAAGCTCGAAGGTACGTTMCATAGTGTTTCGTAGTTGTTGGTCTCCAGGACGCAAGGATGACGTCGGTAATGTTGTTCGGAAYATGTAAGTAAGCGTAGTGTTCCCTGATAAGGGACATACCATTAGGTGCAATTTGGTCGCTAGTGGGTGTAGATGTTTGTTGGACTGGTGTTGTAGAAGGTCTTAAATCCAAATGCAGCCCGGATCTGGGTGCCATGAGCAATATGTATCAAGTTTATTGTTGAGTCGACTCGCGAACATATCAATGTCTAACTCAGGAAAACATGAAATAATTATGTCATAGCATTGTTGCTTTAATGTCCATTCGTGCTTATCAGAAAACTTGCGACTTTTCGTCTGCCTCAATATTAAGCTTTCCGGCAATGTGGACTGTTGATAACCAGAGATTCCTACTGATACACCAATCCCATATGTGTCGTGACAAATTGTTAAGGGTAGGTGATTTTGATCCCCCCATGTTGTTTATGTAAGCTACTGCCGTTGTGTTGTCAATAAATATGCCCACRTGTTGATCATGTTTGTTAGAGCAGTAAAATTTCAAGGCGAAAAAAGGCAGCTTTTAATTCCAAAATGTTGATATGAAGTAATGCTTCCCGCTCTGCCCATCTCCCCCGCCCCCCGTTTTATTTTCATCAAGAACTGCTCCCCAACCTTGGGTAGAAGCATCTGATTTAATGATAGTAGTGGGGTTATCACAGATAATATTTCGTTTCAGGTTTTGGCCATTGTTTAGCCACCAAMGTATCTCCGCTTTAGCTTGTGGCGATAACGTCATTGGGCTTGAGTAGTTTCYTTTGTGAATAAGAAGTACCCAATATTTTTAATGATTCCAATTGGCGATAATTCAGGGGCCCATATTGCGCGCCAGGAAAATTAGACACAAYAATTCTGATAAATTCCGCAAGTTTCCCTATAGTAATGGTGGTGGTTTCTAAAAGAGCGGCGGCGCTGGAAATGATCTTGTGTATTTTCTCTTTAGTAGGTGTAAGCGTCATGTCTAATGAGTTAAGTATAAAACCGAGAAAGACAATCTCCTGCTTGGGCTCAAACATTGATTTTTCAGGGTGTACACAAAAGAGAACAATTTTGMAGTGTCGACTACATTGTTGTAGCATTCTATGAATGTGYCACCTTGTAGATATGAATCGTCTATATAAGCTGAACTGACATGACCCATACTGCACAGCGCCGAATAGAATGGTTTAAGTAGTTTAGTAAAGATTCGCGGGGCGCTTGCAAGTCCATTAGGTAAACACGTATATTGATAATACTTTTCACGGAAAAGAAATTTCAGATATTTCTGGTGTGAATCATGGACCGGAACAGTGTAATAAGCATCTTTAAGGTCAACCGAGGCCATGAAACAGGCTGGTTTCATCAGTTGAATGGCGTGCTCTAAAGTATTCATCKTAAAATGATGATATACAACATGTTAATTGAACTGTTTCAAGTTTAGAATCATGCGATAAGAGCCCTCTTTCTTTGGAMGCAAAAATACCGTAGATATGATATCATCTAACTACGTTAGAATTAAACAAATCACTGCTAGTACCAACTACATTGATACTGTAAAGGTTGGATATTTTGATAGACTAACTACGTTAATCTAATCCAAAGTATTTTACTGTAGATTTATAAAGAAGAACGTAACGCGGTGCAATGACGTACGCTTGCGCTGGGCTATGTCATGGGATCCCCGAACTTCCGGTCATGTGATAGAATGATTATTAATGGTTAAATAGTGAACAATAGAACTTATATCTGAGAACTTATATCTGAGAGTTATACGATTCAAACCTTTGAAATGACGAGGAAAAATAATGTATAACAAATACAGTAAAGGCCCTAGAATCGTCCCCTGGGTAACACCACAATTTAGCAAACAAGGTTTAGAAATGGATAAACAAACCAAGAAAATTTTTCCAGGAATTGGGAGTTGGGGCCATTTAACGATTGAGACACCTTGTTACTCAACTTGTTTAGTCTCGCATTCATTACGTAGTTTGACATATAAGCGTGAGTGATGCAACCGATTGAATCACTCTATGTAAACACAAGTATGTATAAATTTAAGAGAAGAATATTGTAAAGTTAGTAAAAAGACACGACACGACCTGACCTGAACCGAACTGAATCGAAATTACCAGCAATAAAGTTTACTATTGAACCGAATCACCAACATGGTACTTCTATGGACAGATCCAAGTACTGCAAATGTTACGTATTTCAGTAAGTCTTCTACTGGCGTTATTGAGTATGGAGCGACTTATCAAGAAAAGGGATGGAATCAAGTATCAAGTAGAATGTATTTATGACTATGTGAAAAGTGTTACCAGTGAGGATGGCGAAAGTGTAAAGACGACCGCTAAAGTTTTGGCAAAGAAAGGTATGACCAGTTTTTCGAAGAATTGTTGAATGAAGAAATTCACTATTCATACAAGGTTTTTCAAAACAAGTGTACGGGAATCGAAGAAATAATTGATATTATCGACGCGTGAATCGACGCGTGCTACGTCTGCGTCAGCTTCTAGTTTTACGTTTGATGCAATAATATTGCAAGCTGTTAAAGAAATTGTGAACAATCAAATGGAATCTTTGCAACGCATTACTGCACAAAAACAAGAATCGTTAAAGGATCTATTTTCTGCTAATAAGGTTTCTGCGAGTGAAGCAGAAAGGCCTGTTCATCAGGCCATACATGACATTGGAGGGACTTTGAAAGGAACTTTAAATCATGCTGTGGATTTGAATTTGTCATCTGTGCACTCTGAGGAGTTTGTTATGGTTAATGCTTTGATGATCGACCAAATTACATCCAATGTTCCTCGACGTTCTGTTGTTGACACTAACTTGTCTCAATTAAGTGGTTTACATTGTCTGATGAGCATTTTGGTACTCCTGGTCCCGTGGATATTCTCTTAAGTGCAGATGTATATCCTCTTCTGATTGTAGATGGTATGGGAGTACGCAAAGGTCTCGATGGACGCTTGCTCGCACAACAGTCTATTTTTGGATGGATTATCACTCGTTCGACTATCGTAAAGGCAAAGTTGTCTGATGATGACAAAGTTTCAGATGAAAGCAGTCTGTCGCA